AATGTTATGCACAACCATTTCCATTGTTTTACCCAAAGTTGAGGATTTATAGACATTTTCAGGATTAACTTTATTGGCTTTTATAAACATGGGAGTTATCTTTCAATGTTTTCTTTGCTCTAAAACTTTACCTGCTCATAAAGAATGATTGAAGATAAGAAAGCTTAGCAATAGAAGCACTGCAGTTTTTGAGCATAGGCTGTCTTATAATACCAAAACCATTCAACTTGTTTGGCTTTAAAAGCTATAAACTAATTTTAACTAATCAAAAGCAATTTAGCATAATGTGGTTTGCATGTTATGTGTAGCTTAACTTTTAGTAGAGTACCTATTAGCTTTATCTCTGATAGAATCAGACAGGGGGAGTTATTTATAATAGCACTCATTATTTGCAGGTCAACTGACAAACCACAGAATCAAGTAGCTGAGTAATTGTTGTTGAACAGTTACTCTTGTAGTAGTTAGAAAGAGTTAGCAACAGATGTTAGAAAAAAAATCAATTGAGTCTCTCATGATCAAGTTAATAGAAAAAATCATTATCATAATGTCATTATCAAAAATCATCTTTTGATATTATTTAGTAAAACTAAAAATTTGTTAATATATAATTTAATAATTAAGTCTAAGCTAAGGAATGATATGTTAAAAGAAAAAAAAAAGAAAGCAAAGCTATGGTTTTTTGTCCAAAAAAAACACTTTAACTCTTATCTATCTTAAATAATGATACTGAAAACTTTAGTATTTTGTGTAACATCTTTAGATTGTAAATAAATAGCAAGAATAAATAAAAATGAAATATTATCAACATTAATTGCCACAAAACTGTTTGTTTTTTTAAAAAAATCCAAGGTTTTATTCAACAATCTTTTTTTTTGCATGTTAAAAGAAGAATTTAGTTCAATAAGAATTTTAGTTCAATAAGAATTATAGTCTATCATGAGCAAGTCTATCATGAGCAATTCTATGGCAAATATTTTGAGAGTAAATTAACAAAGTGTTGCGATCCTTTTGAAACACACAAAAAAGATTGTAAAAGAGATTTATTATAGTTAAAACAGAGCTAATATGGAAACAAAAAGCAAAATATTAAAACTTATGATAAATATTAAAATTTTAATTATATATAAAAGCTTATTAAAATTTTTTATAGACTAGGTAAACTTTTCTAGCATTCATTTCAAAACAATAACACAAAGATTAGACACTTTAATGTATGAGACTCTTTTCACCATAACATACAAATGTTAACACTAAAATTAAGTAGGAAAAAAAAAATAAAAGCATTCCACATTAAATAATCCTGATTTTGTGTTAAAAAAAAGTATACACCATACAGATTGAGCCATACGAAATTAATGATCTTGTTTGAGATCTGAACTTGTCACAGAAAAAGGTAGTTTAGCAAGACAAAAGCAGTATAATCTTCTCTTAACTTAATGTCAAAGTTTCACATTGAGGCCTTGTTAAGAAGCATTAGAAAGCTCAAAAATTTTGTATGAAATGGTTTGCAAAAAGTTCAGAAAATATTAAGTCGTAAAAAAAAACCTTTAACCGCAACTGCGACTATATAAAAGAAATTTTTTTTAAAAATTTTGAACTAAATATGATTTTAAAAATTTTAATTTAGTTTTGATGGAAATAGTTAATAAAACATAGAATGTAAAATTTAATTTCAAAGAAATGTAAAATAGTTTTGCAATACTTATTAAATAAAGAAATTTTTCGCTAACTAATTCATTACATAAAACTAATTTATTATATAACTAATTCATTACATAAAACTAATTTATTACATAATTAATTCATTACATAACTATTTCATTACATAAAACATAAATTATTTTTATTAACTAACTAATTTTTTATTTAACTAATTCATTACATAAAAATTTTAATATGCGAAAGTGAATTAAAATATTTATTTTTTTGTTTTAAAAAAGGAAAAAGTGTTTTTGTTCAAAAGAATTCTTTTCACAAAGTTTTTTGTTTCTTATTAATTCATTATCATTATGAGTAAAGCTTTTTTGATGTAATTCAGGATGTAATAAAGATTTAATAGTCTTTTTAATAGTTTTTTTAATTTACTAAGTCAGGTTGGTTTTTTTTTTTTTTTTTTTTTTTTTTTTTTTTTATGAGATCTTTTTGTTTGTTTGTTTTTGTTTTTATAAGGTCTCTACTTTAAATTAGTCTTGTACTATTTGCATTGTCCCTTCACAAAAATATTATTGTAATATTTACACTATATCGTAAACGATATCTATTTTTGTGATAAATATAATGATTGATTAGGAAAAAGTGTTATTACTGCAATGACAAGGAAATGGGGGAGCAATCGCTACATTCTTAATGCTGTCAAAAAAATTGTAAAATCACTCGTTTTGAGATAAAACTAGATTTGAACCTTACTAATATCTCAAAGTGGACAATATCTCACAGGAATAAAGCATCAAGTGATTTTTTTTCTGGAAAGCAAATTAAAAAACCTTTTGTTAGTGAAATCAATCGAAAACCGGATATAAAGTGGTACATTAAGCACAAAGATGGGACATGTGAACAATGGGCTAAAGTTATCTGGAGCGACAAATCTCCGTTTGTTTTGTATTATAATGGTTGATTTCATTGTCGGAAATTAATTGGGGAAAAATTCAATCCTCAAAACGTGCAAGGCAACTATTAAACATGACAAAAAGATTAATGTCTGGGGTTGTTTTAGTGAACACAAAGTTGGAAAACTTTACCGGGTGAAGGGCATCATGGACTAGCATTTGTATCACAAAATCTTAGTTAATCAGCTTAGACCAAGTATAAAAGAACTTTTTCCTAATGGTGACTACATCTTTCAACAGGATAATGATCCGAAACATACAGCATGGTTGAATAAAAGATATCTAGAATCTAAATTGATACCAGTTGTGTCTTGGCCAGCACAGTCTCCTGATTTAAATCCAATAGAAAATCTTTGGTCTATTTTAGATAAAAAATTGCAAGATCATAGGGCAACAAATGAAGATGATCTGTTCCAAATTCTTCTTGCTGGTTGGAATGCTTTGCCAAATGACTTATTAAAAAGACTTGTAGATAGTATGCCTTCTAGATGCGCGGAAGTCATAAGAAACAAAAGATGGCCAATTAAGTACTAAAACAGCTTTAACCTAAAAAATACTTTACAAATCCTAATTTCTTTTTATTATATGTAATAAATAAAATTATATTATAAACATTTTTATCATTAAAATCATTTATGAAGAGCAAAAATAGTAAAGGACCAATGACCGATCCTTGAGAAAAACCACTCAAGACATCTATTCATTCAAAGAAGAAATTGTCAAAAACAACACAACACAAAACATACGACACATGATTAAAAGCTTTAGCAAAGTCTAGCAAAATAAGCAATGCTGCACAATCATTGCTTTAAGCTTCAGTAATAATATCCAGTACTTCAAAAGTAATGCATGATCTAGATCTGACAAAAACATGCCAAAATAACAAATTTTGTTTTACAAGGTGTTCAGTCATGACATCACAAATTATTCTTTTCGTTATTCATCCAACTGCAGAGATGATGGAAATAGGCCTGTAATATCCAGGATCAGTACAATGACCTTTTTTGAATATGGGCATTATATTAGCGAGTTTCCACCCAGATGGCACTTGGCCAGAATTTGATAAATATTAGAGAAAGAGGCACACTGAACTCTTTAAAACAAGTTTTGAGGATGAACTCCAGCAGCTATTGAAATGCTATTAATAGTTGTTTATACATTTATCAATAAGTTTATAATAAATAAAAAATTTGTTACATCTAAATTCAACAATAACGAACCCCTTAATACTTCAAAAAAATAGTAAATTAAACATTGTTTACAAACTTAATTGTGCTAACTGTAATGTTTGCTACATAGGAGAAACTTTTCGAAACTTTTTACAACGCATTGATGAACATTTCAAGGAAGATAAAAAATCTTATGTTTTTCATCATTTAATGAAAAACATTGAGTGTCAAAGGAAAGCCTCCTCTATTTGCTTTTCTATTTTGGATTCTGCTCAAAGTGAGTATGAATTAGTAATAAAGGAAAGCTTGCATATAAAGTGGCAAATGCCCTGTTTAAATAACTCAAACATAGAATTCTTGAACTGTTTTGACTATTATGACGTTGATTTTATGAAAAAAAATTTTTTAACTATTTCTACCTATTTTTTTTTTTAATTGAGTTTTGAGACTGGCGCATTTTGTTATTGCATTTTAATGGTCTTTTTAACTCTTTGTAATAAATCTTATAATAGATTTTTGTAATAAAGTAATTAATTTGTATCCCTTATAAAAACGGTTTTTTAATGATTTTTGTAAATTTTACTGATGATGAAGTACATTGTAGTTCAAAACATGTATAACAAACATTTTAAAAGTGTTATTAATTTTATTTAAATATTTATTTCAATTGTGCTTAACAGATATATATATATATATATATATATATATATATATATATATATATATATATATATATATATATATATATATATAAAATTTAGTAAATGCACTTATTTAATTTTTTTTCAACAGTTGTTGAAGATGGATAAACATGTTACTTGTTTCTCCATCAGTAAGTTCACCAGGAAGAATTTATCATGAGTTTATCAGGTTGATGAACTTACAGATATATTCTAATCATAAACTTGTATGGTTAGAATATATATGTAATGAAAAAAACCACTTTAAATGTTAACTAAATTATACTTATTATAATTATACTGTTATGCTTATCATAATTATCATAATTACTGTCTGCAAAGAATTACTGTCTGCAAAGAATTACTGTCTGCAAATTAATTGAAATACAAATTTATTGCTACTGGTTATCTCAGAATTTAGAACTAATAAAATAACTACTTTTCTATGTCTAAAGATTTAAAAAGTTAAATCAACAAACAAAAAACTTTTTAGTTGCTCAGTGTAATTAAATATTTAAAAACATGTCATATAAATTAATGTTAACCTGAATAAGGCATCAGTTTGGAGGGGTGGGTAAGGACAACAGGTGCCAATCCATTAAGACGTAACTTTTTATTTACTAAAGTCCAATCAGCTAATTCAACCTAAAATTACGCTTAGCATTGACTATGATAACAATACCAAATGTGATTGTTTAAACAAAATTCAAAAGAAAATAAAAACTTACTGGATGATCTCCGGTGCTAATTGAAACATTTTTAAGATACAGATTATCTATAAATAAATGCAAGTAAAACTTAAATAAATATTTAGAAATTAAAATTTTTATGCAAATATTTAAAGAAAAATTGATTATTTGATTTAAAATGTAAATACAAGTCAATAAAAATTATAATTAACTAAATAATTAAACCAATCTAAAAAAAACACAAAAAAATCTAAATAAAAACATTTTTTAATTATGCAATTATAGAAAATGTTAAATTATTTCAAATGTTAAATTTATCTTGTATCTGTCTTAGAAGTCAACATATTATGCTTGCATTTGTTATAAATAAATGTACAAAAAACTTCCACAAATTCAAAATGTATAAAATCATTACTAATAAAACAACAGAATAAATCTACTAATCAAAAAAAATTTCTTAATGTATTACTTTCTAAGGTGTCATCAGAAAACTCACTAATAATAGATGAAGTTGTAGGCAAACTGCAAATAGAAGATAAAGATGACATTATATTAGTTAAAAACTATGGAAGAACAAATATTTGTGTACATATATATATATATATATATATATATATATATATATATATATATATATATATATATATATATATATATATATATATATATATATATATATATATATATATATATATATATATATATATATATATATATATATATATATATACATATATATATATATATATATATTATATATATATATATATATATATATATATATATATATATATATATATATAAATTCAGCATTTGACCCACACAAATAACATCATACAGAAACAGGAATTTGTGGGGGCTTCAGCACATACATGACTATTTTATAGTCTGCTGCTGCCAAGGTTTGCTACTACATCAACTAAGGGTTTGACACAGGGAAGCAATCTTTTCTTTAAGTATTCTTTGTTTTTTTCTACTTTTGCTACTAAAAAAGTAAAGCGTATATTTTTACAAAAAATTGCGGAATTAGCTTTGAATTAAGTATAGCATATATATATATATATATATATATATATATATATATATATATATATATATATATATATATATATATATATATATATATATATATATATATATATATATTTATTTATATACAACATTTTGAAAAATGTTTTCTATATAATAAAATAATGCTGGATTTTGAAATTTTTCGATCGAAAAATATTTTAGGGGTTCTTACAGTTCTTGATCATTAAACAGGTCACTAATATTATAGAAAAAAAGGTTTCCAAAAATATGTTGTGTTGGGCCTCAAGCAAATTATATAAAAATTTTTAAAACAATAATCATTTTATAAAAAAAAAAAATAGAAAAAAATATTATTATTATTAACAAGTTTTGTAAAAATGCTCTTTTCTTTTTATTTATTTTTTTGAAAATCGTCATTTATTATACAATTTTTTAAATTAAATTACGATTATTTTCAAAAACTTTTATATAATTTTACTCTAAATGAGACCTATTTAATGTTCGAGGGTCTGTAGCAACCTCTGAAAATATTTTTTATTTAAAAAAATTCTAAATCCAGTTTTATTGTGCTATATAGAATACATTAAGGGGTTTTCTAGCAGATATTTTGAAAAAATGTTTTTTTTGAACCATCATAATACACATATGATAATGATAATGATGATGTAGATGATGGTGATGGCGATAATGGTGATAACGATGACGATGATGATGATGATGATGATGATGATGATGATGATGATGATGATGATGATGATGATGATGATGATGATGATGATGATGATGATGATGATGATGATGATGACAATTGTTCATCATCTCAAATTGTTCCAATAACATTTCAAGAACTCTTTGAAGTATAAACAAAAAGTAATAATAATGTTATCAAAATATTTATTTCATTTGACAAAAATATTTAAAATATTACAATTTATATTACAAATCACTAGATATAAAACAACACATCGCATTACACTGTTGATTTAACAATGCAACAGAAGTCATCTGAAAATTATATTAAAAAAAAAGAATTCATGCAAAAAAGTATAACATTAAAATCCAGTTTATAGATTTGTTTTTAAAAATGCATAAATATATATATTTTTTAAATATTTTTATTATGCTGTAGAAAAATAATAAATACAAAGTTCTATAAAAATATAACCAAGAAAACTTTTTGAAAAACAATATTTACAATTTCAATAGTATAAAACATTAATGCATGTGTATATGTTTGGATAGCTGCATATAAATCTTTGGCCTATTATTTTACAAATTTTCAGTATTTGCTTTAAATCTGTCACTTTTATTAAACTGAGTATCAAAATTACCCAAGTTGAATTCTACATTGGTCCAAGAATTTACAAAACTGCTGAATGTTTTTAGAGCAAAAAATTTATAAAAAGCCTCATTAAAAGATCATTTGAATATGTTTGCATAAAATAATCAAATATTATAAAATACAAATGTATTTAGCAAAACTGGTTTGTGTTCATTATTTGTAAACTCAAAAACACTTTAACTACCAACATACTTTAGTTACCAACCTTCTTTAATTATCAAATTGCTTTAAATAAGCACTACTAATTAATTACTGAATAAAGTTAATATGTGTCACTTGTTACTTTGTATATTCTATACTTTATCTAGCTTGTATTTTATGTATATGAAGCTAAATTTGGCAATAAGACTAATCATCTGCAGGCTCTATTGGAATCAATCTATGCCACCTTTGTACAGGTTCATTTGAATTTAACATTTCAGTCCATTGCTCTGCACCAGTACCTACAGCATTGCGCCCAATAGTAAGTATTGCAAAAGTACGATCTCTTCCAATATCTCCATGATGTCTAATTTTAATTGTTAGTGATACATGTTCAATAAGGTGAGAAGGACAATCAAATACAAGAGTTTTATTGTAAACTGGGTTTGTTTCATGTTTAACAACATTTGTTCGCAACTTTTTTAATATTTTTCCAAAATGCTTCATAGTAACAGATACATAAGGATGATCTAGAAGAAATATGAAAGACAATGATAATAATTTAAAATGTTAAAAAATAAATAATAATAATATTTATGTGAAATCTTTTATAGAAAAACTTTAACATAGTAATGAAGACAATAGTAATAAAAACTATAACCTAAAAAATTATTTTATAAACAACTTTTATTTCTGTTATGGGAAATAAAATTAAAAAATCTTTAAGAAAGTAAAAAATAACTAAAATAAAAATAACCTAATTTCCCTTTTTTATCAACTAGTAGAAGATTTCTTGCTTTATTCACTGTAACAGTAAGTCTTTCAGCTGTTTTTAAACGATTTAAACTTAATAAAAGTAACATTGCTGTCTTATCTAAATCCATTTCCATAGGAAATTCACGAATTTTTCCATCAATTCTATCAGGAGTTTCTGCAACATCCTATATAAAAAAAAAAAAAAAAATTATGTGTTAAACTA